TGAATGAGGAGATAGTAAATTTTTATCTTAACCTCGTCAAACTAGACAACGAGTGTCGTGTGAAGCATGTAGACTGCGACTCAAATAATGAGAATGTGGTTAGAACAGGAAAGAGGCGCATCCCTAGAATAGCAATTTGAAACTCGTTTTTTTTTGCCAAACTATTTGATAGCAATATGAAGATCCACTACGATAAGGTTCGCAAATGGTTTACAGAGGTTGTGATTAGCGACATGGATTTGATTATTGCACCTTTCCATGTCTTGCACAACCAACATTGGACACTCGTAGTGGTAGACTTGAGACGCAGGAAATTTGAGTACTACGACTTGCTAACACCGGATAAAGAACTCGCGATGAAGGTGACAGGGGGATTCGCAAATGTTTTGTACATGAGATCGATCGAACAAGGTCAAGAGATCGACACCAAACACTTCAACCATATATAGACAGTGGAAGGCACTCCAAAGCAACACGACTTCAACGATTGCGGTGTGTTTATGCTCACATATGCATCGCTGTTGGCGAGACGGTTCCTGCCACCATTCAACTTCACATCAGATGACAGTAAGAAACTACGATACCGGATAGCTTTCGACGTAGCAGTTGTGGAGTAGACAATTATGAGGCTGTTACATTAGTCGTCCACACACATGAGAGGAAATGCAGTGACCACAAGTACAAGTGATAACAGGAGAAGACGAGCTTGCTAAAGTAAACGGGATAATTGATGCAATTACACAAAAGGTATAAATGGTTCTACACAAACGGGATAAATTGATCCAATTACACAAAAGGTGTAAATGGTTGTACAAGACATTCACCCTTACACCTAACCACTTATCACCTTACCCCTTATCCCACACACCTTACCCCTTACCCCTTACCCCTTACCCCCCCATTTGTGTCACAAATTAATCCCCACGGAAGACAAAATAGACAAAAAAATAGAGTTTCAATTTCGTTCAAAAATAAAAATATGTTCGTTTTGACGAAATCGCTGTTCATGGGGGGCATTGGGTCCCCCCATGCATGCTACCCCCCCAAGAAAAATGCATGTGTGGAGGTCATGCAAGCATCAAGGACCCGTATGCATGGGGCCCCATATATGCCTTACATAGGTGGATGACCCATATCGAAATATAGGAATTGGAGGAATGGTTGTGCACAGGGGCCCATACATGTCAGGGTTCTTCATATGGGCATCCCCCGTGCATGCACAGGACCCCCTTTTAGATATGCATGCAGGGGCCCCCCCATATGCAGGGGTCCTTGCAGGGCCCCCCCCTGACCCCCATGTAATCTGCTCTATATGCATATAGTGGACCCCCTATATATATGGGGGGCCCTCTATGCATGCTCCCCTCCCTATGCATGCTCCCTTCCCTATGCATGCAGGGGCCCCTGCACGTGGAGCCGTTTTCCTGTTTCGTCGTCTTCGCAGTTCTATTAAGGATACGTCTTCTTATAACCACAACAGTGGCTGTCCTCAAAATTTCTATAAATTTTTTATTTTTTATTTTTTTCAACAAGCTTTTCCGTTTTCCCAAATATACGTTTTCCTCAAAGTTGCGGTGACATATGAGCCTCGAATCACATTGCGTTTGACCGAAAATAGTTTTCTATAAAAAACATTGTGGACTTTGCAAACTGGATTTTTTTCTTGGTCCACTTTTCACAAATAACTTGTTAAA